ATGTGGGCGGAGATGGCCCTACTTGTGATTGGTGGAGGTTTTGATGTGGGAGGAGCCCTATTTGTGATTGGTGGAGGTTTTGATGTGGGCGGAGACGTGATTGGTGGAGGTTTTGATGTGGGCGGAGACGTGATTGGTGGAGGTTTTGATGTGGGCGGAGACGTGATTGGTGGAGGTTTTGATGTGGGAAGAGACAGCCCTACTTGTGATTGGTGGAGGTTTTGATGTGGGCGGAGACGTGATTGGTGGAGGTTTTGATGTGGGAAGAGACGGCCCTACTTGTGATTGGTGGAGGTTTTGATGTGGGCGGAGACAGCCCTACTTGCGATTAGTGGAGGTTTTCATGTGGGCGGAGACGGCCCTACTTGTGATTGGCGGAGGTTTTGATGTGGGCGGAGACGGTCCTACTTGTGATTGGTGGAGGTCTTGATGTGGGCGGAGATGGCCCTACTTGTTATTGGTGGAGGTTTTGATGTGGGAGGAGCCCTATTTGTGATTGGCGGAGGTTTTGATGTGGGCAGAGATGGGATTGGTGGAGGTCTTGATGTGGGCGGAGACTGCCGTACTTGTGATTGGTGGAGGTCTTGATGTGGGCGGAGACAGCCCTACTTGTGATTGGTGGAGGTTTTGATGTGGGCGGAGACAGCCCAACTCTCATGAAGTAGCTTGGTCGAGTCAGGCAGGAAGCAACATGTTTTTTAAGATTAATTTTAGTCATAACTTGAGAAAAGAAGCTGCTAGCTGCATGAAATTTGAACGTTGTACACGTGGAGACATGAGTAACAATACGGCTCAGTCAAAACATCCCCAACTGTCTCCAAAAAGATCAYTGAAAATCAATATGAATATGAATATCAGTTGTAATTTGGGACAGGAAGAAGCTTGCCACATGAAATTTTAAGTCAAATTATGTTTTCAAGTTCACAATAATTTTTATTTGAGTCATTGTTCTGTTATAAACTGTACCTTCACAGTCAATAAATCGTATATTTTTACTATTATTACTGCCTGTTTTAAACTGACCCATAAGACATGTCAATCCAATCAATCATGATTGAGGTAAACTCCGCCCACATTAAAACCTCCGCCAATCACGAGTAGGGCCGTCTCCACCCACATGTACTGCAGAGACCCYTACTCGGGCTGGTTGGTTCCAGGAGTTGAACCAGCGACCTTCTGATTACAGACTCATCTTCTGTATTATACACACTGAAAGGATAAAACAGGCAAGTTTTTCCTTCTAAATATCTTTTTTATTTTTTATTTTTTCGATTACACTCAAAACAAATCAGGTTAAAATAAAACGAGTCAGAGCTTCAATCCAGCGTCTCAGAGGGCGGAGCTTGGAGACGAGTTGATGGTTTGAAAACTGGATCCGTCTTCATTTCAAACTCGTACTCAGGTTAAATCATAAAAGTTCTGGTTTTGAAAACTCACAAAGATAATACACATATTTCTTCGCAATTTTGCGTCAACGAGTCTGCAGCCATCACGGCGCGGTGAGGCGCCTTCAGCACAAAGTGTGAAATAATTTGTGACGATTATAAAATAAAAGTGATCATCAGATGCTGATAAAAACCGTGGAGAGGTCAGCGTGTTGTCAGGAGGAGACACACGGACTGAGGAGGACATTTCTACGAGTTGTTTCTGATTTTAGGAGCGGTAAAGTAAGATCCTCTCGGCGCAGTCCTGACCCACCAGGCCGGCGTACTGCTGCACGGCCGCCTCGTCACTGGGGTCTTTACGTTTGCGCCTGTAGGCTGCGTACGGCATGGGGGTCCGCCTGTACAGCACCAGAACTCTGCCCACGTCCCTCAGCGCCYGGGCATCTCCTGGACGGAAACAAAAACACAGAAAAGCACGATGAGGACCGGCGGGGACACGTCCAACACCAGAAACTACTTCTGAGCTCATCTGAACGAACCTGGGAGCGACTTGGCAAAAACACATCTTTATTCCAAGAAGCTGTTAGCAGTAAGTCCCCTGAGCCTGAAGGTCTGAGTCACGGTTCTGAGCCAGGCCAGTTTGTGGGCCTGGTACCCCCCYGCTGGGTCTCAGCGTCTCCTCAGGTCCTGTCAGACGCTGCCAGCTCYCCAACATTTAAGTCTCATAAGTGTTTAGGAGCTAAATACTCTGGAGAGTGAAACACGTTGCACTTAAAACCTCGGCCTCCAGGAGAGGACGGACCGAGCCGGGGCACAGCGGGGTGCCCGGACCCCCGGCCAGAACACGATGGTCTCGTGTTCCAGTGTGAGAGGAAAAACCACGTTTCTTTCTTGTTACCTGTGAAAACGCTTTTCCTGCTCGGTCACTTTTTACATGAATAAATAAGTTTCCTGCTCGTCGACAGGTTTCACCGGCTGTGAGAAACAATCAGAACATCTGATCTGAAGTTCACACCAACACATCCGTCCTGCTGGAAACAAAACTACAAACATAAACTCCTGGTCAGAAATGAAAGAGTAGAATCCAGGAGGGGAAAAGATATTAGTCAAAAAGTAGCTAAAAACACAAAAAACTGCTGAAATTACCAGAAATCAGAGGTTTAAGGTACTCGCTGCAAAGTTAATTAATTAATTATTAAAGTATTTGAATTTCCTGCAAAACTGCAGTGTGAATGCTTAATGCTAAAAACTGAAAATAATTAATTTATCTGAAAAAAACCCTCAAATGGTCAAAAAGTAGCTAAAACCTCAAAAGAAAAAAAAAACTAGACGGCAGCATGTGTTTGTTGTTGTTCGAGGAGCGGCTCGGTCACACACTAATGCAGAGGTGCCCAAAGTGGGGCCCGCGGGCCAAGATTGGCCCACCAAGCTATTTGATTTGGCCCACCAGCAGTTGTCCTGGTTATTAGACTGTAATCTCTTGTCCTATAGAAACACCGTGTTTCCACTTTGCAGCCATTGGTCCAGCTAAAGGTGCTGAAGTCAGATAGTCTTAACTCACTTCATCTTTGAATTATGTTAAGATTAAATATAAAATGCGAGTAACAAGAGACATTTAGATTAGATTTAAGCACACGTCTAAATTTGCAAACCTCATAAGACCACATATACTCAAATTTTAATTCATGAGAGGTCCCATGACCCTTTGCTTCTCAAGCATGTGTTGAATTTTCTCCATGTCCACATGCTGAAAAAAATAATGTGGGCAACCGCACTGGCTGCTGGCTTATTC